TTTTTTTTTTTTTTTTTTTTTTTTTGAGACGTCTTTTTAACCATGGATGCGTACATAGCGATTACTGTAATTCTTACATTTGATCAATGTACCACTACGAGTGACATAACGTCTACCTTTTCTATGATTTTTCTAGGATACATGTGATATGCGTCTTTCAGAAGTGGGGAATCCAATGTGGGGAATCCAATTTTAGTCAATAGTTATAGTACAATACCCGACCCTCAGGCTGAGAAAGAAGGAGAGGGGCCGGGGGTTGCAAGGGTTCTTGAAAAAGAATTTATATGAGGGTAGCTTAAAAAATTTAAGTGTTTGCCTTGCTTGCAGTCCATCAGAATTAAATTTGAAATTAAATTTTGCCGTCATATCTGTTTGACTTATTCTATTGGGAGCCGAGAGGATTAGGGTTAGAAAAATTACCCATCATAACACTGATTCCCCTACCAAAATATATAATAGAACTCGTTTTTTAAACTATGTACTGTTTTTACAGATACCCTTCAACGAGCTATTTTTCAGGTCCTATTTATGCCAAGGTCGGGGGGTTTTGTTTACATTTTGTTTGTATAAAGAAAAAAGAATGCCTCTAATTCTCTGTATATACTACTTGTGGGAAGGAAAGGTGTGTGTTCATTCGCTGCCTCTCCTTTATACATTCTATTCCAAATAATTTGACTTACGCCCTCGCCTTAGTCACTTATAACGCCCCAGCAATTTCATTGTCATAACAGATTAAATGGTTGTTTACATACGTTTTAAAGCCAACGGCTAAGACTAGTGTTTGGATCTAGTTTTCACTAAGATTTTTCTTAATAATTTTTCTCGTGGATTCGCTTCGAGATATTATTTAGATAATTAGATAAACCGTCGCGTTCTTAAGTAAATGCTCCTCTTCACTTAATTTTAGAGTGGGTTAACCCAAGTTACTGTATGTTAGAGAATTACAGGCCGGTAGACAGCAAATTCAAAAGGGGGGGGGGCTTTTTCTGAAAATGTGGATCTTTTACCATGAAACCTTCATGTACCTAGATAAATTTTTACCCAGAAGGGACCTTTCCACGGCAAAAAGGGTGGTTGAACCCCTCCCCCCCCCCCCCCCCCCCCCCCCCCCCCCCCCCCCCCCCCCCCACCCACCCCCCCCCCC